TGTTTAGTACACATGGTGTGGGGGATCACGGGGAAAACACTGTAGCACACAGAAGGCAAATAGTGAATCTGTGGCATTTTACAACACTGACAGACAGTGACTGCATTGGGGTATGGGTGGGGACTTGATAATATGGGTAAATGTAGTAACCACATTGTTTTTTCATGTGAAACTTTCATAAGAGTGTATATCAATAATACCTTAATAAAAATAAAAAAAGAAATTATTTGCTACTAGTGTATAGAAATACAACATGTTTTTGTCAAAAAAAATACATCAAATACACATACACTGAATAAGAAGTTTGCAATGAAAACTACGAAACATTGCTGAGGAATACTAAAGAACATTTAAATAAATGGAGCTGAAAAAAGATGAGGGCATGAGAGGTGAGAAAGACACCTACTCCCAAAACCATATACAATATGAAAATATAGCAAATATAACTAATCCTGAAAGAGCAAAAGGAAAGAATGCTTCAGCATTACATAATGATAAACGAGGGTCAGTGCAACAAGAGGATATAACCATTATAAACACCTATGCATCCAACACAGGAGCACCTACATATATGAAACAAATACTAACAGAATTAAAGGGGGAAACAGAACACAATGCATTCATTTTAGGAGACTTTGACACACCATTCCCTCCAAAGGACAGATCAGAAAGACAGAAAATAAGGAGACAGAGGCACTGAACAACACATTAGAACAGATGGACGTAACAGACATCTACAGAACACTCCACCCAAAAGCAGCAGGATACACATTCTCAAGTGCACATGGAACATTTTCAAGAACAGATTATATACTAGGCCATAAAAAGAGCCTCAGTAAATTCAGAAGGACTGAAATTGTACCAACCAGGTTCTCAGACAACAAAGGTATGAAACTAGAAATAAATTATGCAAAGAAAACAAAAAAGCCCACAAACATATGCACACTTAACAACATGCTCCTAAATAACCAAAGGATCAATGACCAAATAAAAACAGAGATCAAGCAATACATGGAGACATGAGAACTGAACACAGCAAAATCTGTGGGACACAGCGAAGGCCATGCTAAGAGGGAAGGATACTGCAATACAGGCCCACCTCAGGAAAGAAAAACAATCCCACATGATCAGTCTAAACTCACAATTAATGAAGCCAGAAAAAGAAGAACAAATGTGGCCCAAATAGAAGGAGACATAATAAAGATTACAGCAGAAATAAATAAAATCAAGAAGAATAAAACAATAGAAAGAATCAATGAAAGCAGGAGCTGGTTCTTTGAGAAAATAAACAAAACAGATAAACCCCTAGCCAAACTTACCGAGAAAAAAGAGAGAGTCTACACACATAAACAGAATCAGAAATGAGAAAGGAAATATCATTACAGATGCCACAGATACACAAAGAATTATTAGAGAACAATACAGACCAACATCCCTGATGAACATAGATGCAAAAATACTCAACAAAATATTTGCAAACCAAATTCAAAAATATATCAAAAAGATCATCCATCATGATCAAATAGGATTTATTCCAGGGATGCAAGGATGGTACAATATACAAAAATCCATCAACATCATCCACATCAACAAAAAGGACAAAAAACACATGATCATCTCCATAGATGCTGAAAAACAATTTGACAAAATTCAACATCCATTCAGGATAAATACTCTCAACAAAATGGGTATAGAAGGCAAGTACCTCAACATAATCAAGGCCATATATGAAAAACCCACAGCCAACATCTTACTTAACAGTGAGAAGCTGAAAGCTTTTCCTTTAAGATTGGGAACAAGACAGGGATGCCCACTCTCCCCACTGTTATTCAACATAGTACTGGATGTCCTAGCCACGGCAATCAGACAACACAAAGAAATAAAAGGCAAACAGATTGGCAAGGAAGAAAACCTGTCCCTGTTTGCAGATGACATGATATTGTACATAAAAAACCCTAAAAAATCCACTCCAAAACTACTAGATCTAATATCTGAATTCAGCAATGTTCCAGAATACAAAATTAATATAGAGATCTGTGCATTGCTATATACTAACGATGAACTAGCAGAAAGAGAAATCAGGAAAACAATTCCATTCACAATTGCATCAAAAATAATAAAATACCTAGGAATAAACCTAACCAAGGAAGTGAAAGACCTATACCCTGAAAACTGTAAGACACTCATGAGAGAAATTAAATAAGATATCACTGAATGGAAATACATCCCATGCTCATGGATAGGAAGAATTAATATCGTCAAAATGGC